GAGTCCTCTGTGAAAAGGATCTGGGGAGGACAGCAACGTGGCGACTGGGAGAGGTTTAAAAAACATAGGTCCGCAGGTGAAATGTATAACATGTAAATCTCAGAAAGAAGCAAATCACATGCTCCAAGTTTTCCTAGTTATTACATTTGTGAGCAAACATCCACTAGGTAACAATAGTATACTAGGCTGGGTTTGTGCAAACAGTATCAATGAGAGCTTAAAAAAAAAAACCCAACTTGTGATAGAAGCGGTTCCCCCCAAAAGTATTAGAGATGCTCATTTGTATTCATTGTTGCAGGCTGAGCAAGCGGGCTAAGGTATTTCCAGTTCGGAAGACACTGGACTCCAGAAAAATGGTTGTAACAGTATTTCACTGAGGGGGTAGGGACTACTGACAGGCACGGAGGGAGGGACGTGGGTCTTCCTTACAGCCAGCCTGAGGGCTCCGAACTCCCAGACCGGACCTCAAACAGAAATCGCACCTCCCTCATCCTCAGGGCGGGACAATGGGTCACACTGACAAAAAGGCGGTTTCGGGGAGGGCCCCGAGGCCAGCACAGGACTCCCTGGCCGGAGAGTGGGGTCGTGTGAGACGGTGGTCTGGCTTGCTCCTGGCTCAGGCCATACTGGAATTTTTTTTTTTTTTCTGGAAACCGACAGGCCAGGCTCTCTGGGGATTTTCAATGAAAATATTCACAGGGGACTCACATGTGAGACTTAAATTCAGAACAAAAGATTGGACGGGTGTGTGTGTATGTGAATTTCGAGTGGGCAGGGGCAGCTGTGTGGGCCCACACGGAGCCGGGGGGCAGCCCGAGGTTACTCGGACGGAGTGTCTCCCACGGTGCACAGGGGTGGAAATCCATCTCACAGGATCGAGTTCGTGTCGTGTTGGAAGTCTGAGGAAAATGAGAAGATGTCTGTATTTTGTTTCCTGCGCTGGAATGTTTCCATTGTATTCACAGGGAGTCTTCTGAACCGTGACTGAAACCTGATCTGCTGCCTTCCAACATGTGTTTCAAGTGGAAAGAGCCCCCGGGAAAAGGGGGGGGCTTTCCGGACAGGGCTCTGCCTTACTGGGGGACGGTCGGGGCTACCCCCCAAAGTGGGGTCGGATGGGAGCAGCCAGAGCTGATTACACAGGAACGTGATGCTCAGCACAGACAGAGGCGGTTGTCCTGGAACCCGTGAGGACGGGGCCCCTCTGCATGTCTGGCTCCACACCTCGAGTCTCCACGGGGCAGCAGGCAGGTCCCTCTGTGTCTGTCAGCAATGAAGCGTTCACTCGCCGTGACCCGGGGGTTAGGAAAACACAGGCTGACACAGAGGGACGACAGCGACCCTGACGGTGGGGTCGCCAGAGGGACGAGGCGAGAGCCGACCCAGGGGCTGGCTGACGTCGATAAAAATGAAAGCCTTACATCTCGACATCTCCGTTGGGTCATCTCGCCGGAGGAGGGCGTCCCACGAGCCCCGTGGGCAGCGCAGCGCAGGTTATGAGCTGCCCACAGCATCGCGGAGCTCACCTGACCTCCCCTTCCCCGCCTCCCACTCCCTTACCACTTCCCACAGGGCGGCCGTGGGGGCGCCACGGACATCATGCTTCGGTCTGTGGTCTCAGAGTACCGATCTGAACGTTACCCAGAGACTCCCAATCTTGGAGGTCGGCTCAGGAGTTGACGATTCTTCGGTTTGTTCCTACTCGGGGCAACGGAGGGTGGATGTGGTTCTGTGTGGGCGGGCTTGGCGGCGTTGTGTTAGGTGGGGGCGTTTTGTGGTGGCAGCTACCGTGGCGATTGTTTGGAAGAGCTCCCGTGGGAAAGAACCTGTCTCTGGTGGGCATCTCTCCTCTGCATCTTTGAAACCTGCTTCCAACAGGTGGGGGATTTCGTTTTAAGTCCAAGAGACACAAGACTGCTTAGCTGGCTCCCTGTGTTCGCCTCCCCATCTTCTCGCTGTCCCAGCGGCTCCATTTCTGCCGCGCAGGTTACTGCCCAGGCGAAAGATGTCATTTCCGGTCTGATTAAGCTCTAGCCACTGAGATACAAGCAGAAGCGCTCTAGGTTACTCCCAGGAAGTTTCCTTGAGAAGGGAAGAACTGCCCCCAAGCCTCTTTCGGCCTCCTGCGGTTTGATATGCAGAGGTGAAGGGGCTCCAGCAGCCACTTTGTGCTATGAGGTGTCAGAGGATGGGGCCCTCGCACTGGGGGTGAGGGAGCAGCAAGCTAAAAAGCTGAGTCCTGCCCTGGCTGCTGTGTCTGAGTGGATTGAGTGCGGGCTGCGAACCAAAGGGTCATAGGCTCGATTCCCAGTCAGGGCACATGCCTGGGTTGCTGGCCAGGTCCCCAGCAGGGGACGTGCAAGAGGCAACCACACACTGATGTCTCCCTCCCTCTCCTCCCTCCCTTTCCCTCTGTCTAAAAATAAATAAATAAAATCTTAAAAAAAAAAAAAGCTGAGTCCTTGAGGCTGCCATGAAGCTGACATTCCTGGCACTTCACTGTCCCCTTCCAGATCTTTCCTTACAAGAGAAACAAGCTTCTGCTCTATTAAGCCACTGTTATTACTTCGTCATACCTAGCAGAACTCAATCCTCGCTAATTTGCTGGCTGTTCCAGCCTCCCTGTGGCTCAGGCGCAGGCCGGGGGACCCGGGCGCTGTGAATGGCACACGGGGGCACAGGACCTCACGAAGCAGGCCCTGAGGACTTGTTTTCTGGCACCGGTGCCCAGCCTCCGCCGTGTGGTGTTCTCCAGAACAATCCCACGTGTGGTTAGGCTCACTTCCCGGCAGCCCGGTCTCCAGGGCCAACCACCCCCGGGCCTCCCAGGGGTTCCGTGAGCTACCTGATACCTATAATGACTCCCTTCCCCATTCCAGCCGCGGGAGGGAACGGACCGTAAGTGATGTGCCGCTCCCGCTGGGTGTTATGTGAAAATAAGACTTTATCTCTAATGAAAGCCTTAGCCTCTCTCCTCCCTGCTTCAAACCACTGGCTTAACCCCACGGCTTCCTCTGGACTGGGGCTTAACTTTTCTCCCCACTTTCCCAGGCGTGGGAGCGACTGCCGTGGACCACCCAAATCCAACCTTCGGAAACAGGGGTGTGTGGGCCCCTGGGACTAGGGAGAGCCACACGTTGGAACTCACGCACAGAAGGTGAACGACTGTGACACACGCACCTTCAGCCGCGTGGGCGTAGCAGAAACTCGCTTCCTTGGGTTTTCTGGGCTTTCCTCCCCATACGCATGATATGGCTTCACCCGGGACATGAGGAGGGACCCCAGGGGCTGTCAGAGCCGCGGGACGGGAGGAGCCGGAGTCGCCGAATGACTCCGTGCAGCAGGGCTGCCCCGCCAGCCTGGACTGTTCCCCACGGAACAGGACGGAAGAGTGAACTTCAATTCTCCATAAGCTGCCATCTCGGGGTCTCGGTCAGCTTTGCCTGTCTCTGATAACACAGTAAGAACAGAGGGACTCAGGGCAGGGAACTTGTCAGCAGGTGATGACAGACCCCAGGGAGACACCAGCGCCTCGGGTTCGAGCTCTGGGAGGGGAAGGAACGCCCCGAATGCTGCCGGCGGAGCACTGCCGGCGGAGCACTGTGCCGGGCCCCGGGGACCCCCAGGCTGGAGGCACCCACGGTCAGATGGCCGTTTTGGTGGCCCCAGGGGCAAGGACATACATCCTACAGTTTCTGCCCCAGACTTTCAAATGTAATTTTTTTTAGCTTTTATAACTTGGACCACAGAGTTTAGAAAATTGTTTTCATCTGCCGCTGTCTTCATTACCATGTCTTCCCTCCTTTTAAAGATGGCGCTCTGCTCGTTTTCTCTTTGATCATCACTGATTACATTCTAGATCGAATATTTCGGCTCTACTATAGCTCTGCCCTTCTCACCGGAGCTCCTCGGTCAGGAGTCGGGAAAGGGCTCTGTTTTTGAGGTTCTGCTGGGACAGAGCGCCACCCGCTGCTTTCCGTGTTGTGTGGGCAGCTTGCCCACGGCCAGGGTGGGCGAGCGGACGACAGAGGCCGCAGGACCCGAAGCGCCAGAAGCGTGCAGCGTCCGGTCCTCTGCAGAAGGCACGGGCCAGCCCCGGCCCCGACCGTGTCTGCGCGACTCCGATTTCACGTTTTCGTTCTCTCTGTTCATCGTTAATCCCAGCGCCACTCCTCGTTTCCACGGTTTCCTTTTCATCCTTATCCTTCCTATCTTTGAGTTAATATTTAGTAAGCTTTGGCTCAACAAACTTTCACCTTACCAGGTTCATAAACTTTGATTTGCCTTGTCGAACTTTTATCAGTTTTATCTTTTGATATGAATCATTATTTCTCAGAGACTTTGATCGTGACTCCCCACGGCTCCCTGTTAGTGTAACAACTGCCAAGGAGTACATACAGCTGCAGGCGCAGACCACCTGGGCAACTGCCCCACGAGGCCCCTCTCTGCACCCTCCCGTTCAGACAGCGGGGTCTCCAGGCTGCGCCCTACCAGGGCCCCGCACCCGGGCTGGCCCCGCCGCTGTCTGAGGCACACGCCGATCGGGCAGCTCTCACGCGTCCTGCACACGCCTCTGCAGGTGCCCTAGCACCCACGGCGCACACGCCTCCCGACCACCAGCTGGGCTGGCCGCTGGCCCCGCGTGCCAGGCCTGCCTGGGTCGGGCCAAGGTATTCAAAGAGCAGCTGAAGCCCATGAAATGCTGTGGGGAGAAAGAGCTAACGGCTGCTTCTCCCAGACCTGTGCGTCCAAAATCGTCTGAGCTTTGCTTCGTGTCTCTGCGGGCTGGGAGGGAGTATATCCAGAGCCCCGAGTCCCCAGAGTGGCTGTAGCGTGTGCCAGGGTCGTACTCAGGGGAGACTCGGACTTCAGACCGAGGGTGAATATGCACTCAGACAGCGTGATGGAAATCAGGCATAAAAACTCCAACAGGACATGGATTTGCTCCTCGGTGAATCCCGGATTGAGTCGGAGGGGGAAACAAGTAAAAGCGACCATTGTAACACAGAGGGTTGTGTTTTATTGAGATATGTTGTATCAGCACAGAGGGGGGTGTCTACTGCAGGGAGCACTTCCGGGAAAGGGAGACAGGACGTGGCCACTGGGACCCCACACCAGCAGCGGACGGCCCACCGTGCGCCCCCGCCGCACAAACCCTCGGAACCATGACACGAACTCCCACCAGCTCACAGGGGGCTTTCCACCAAGGCTGAAATGACGGAGGGACAGAGATGCAGGAGGCCCGCTTCTGTAGACACCTCACACCGAGGCGCGCACGCAGGAACACAGATACGAGCGAGAAACCTCCCACTCCCACCTGTCCCTCTCCCTGCCACCCCGCCCCCCACATACACACGTCCCCACCACACGGCCATCACAGACGACAGGGGGAAAGTGGAGAGCCTACTAAACTCCACCACGGTCAGCCCCGGATCCAGTGGCGAGGGAATAACAAGACACCCAGGTGGGATTCGGCTTTACTGGGGGTCAGGTAGGGCAGGGAGGGACCACGCTGGGGGCAGGGCCTGCACCCTGGCAATACAGCGATTCAGGGCAGTGCTGGGGTCTCTGGCTGAGCTCTACAGGTGGGGGTTGGGCAGGGCTCCTGAAACCAGAGCAACCAGTGGGGGGAGGTCAGTCTCATTGGGTTTAATGCAGACGGAAAGGGAACTGCAGCTGCAGAGAGGCTGGATGAGAGGGGCCTTAGGAGTTAGGACACAGGTACAGGGGCCACTGAGGCTGCTGGAGAGGGAAGGGGTGAGGGAAGGAGGTTGCAAGGAGAAAAGGGAGCAGAGCAGATGGTTCTAAGTTGCAGAAATCTCCAGGTGTGCCCCTCGCTCCCATCTCCTGCACTCACAGGCCCTACTTGTTGCCCCACATGGAAGCCTTGGAGTACAGAGGGGTCGGCAGGAAGCGGCTGGACTTCATGTAGGCAGAGATCTTCTTCAGGCCCTGAGGGAGGGGAGGAAGGCCGGACATCAGGGGCTGCTGCTCCGCCCACCCTGGGCTCCCCCAGCCCCAAGGCAGGCACTGCCAGGTCAGGGTCTGGCCAGGACCTCCACCTGGGGCCGGGCACTGGGGCAGAGGGCAGCCTTCCTGGGGTCCGCAGCTCTCCCGAGCTGACTCCCAGGTTCCCCTAACTCCTTAGTGAGGGTCACCACACACCAGGGTCTGCGCCACACCAGGTGCGCTATACCCACTAGAGATCGTGACGCATGGTCACAACTGCACACACCTCCCCACAAGGGAAGTGCTGCCATCACCGTGTATCGCACGGGAAACCCAGGCGCACAGGCCTGCAGGCAGCACCTTCCTCCGGCCCCCACTGCCAGGCTCTGGGAGGGCTGGAGGCAGCCTGGCTCTCTCTGACTATGGCTCCTGCCGCGGCACCACCCTCCTGCCTCCCACACAGGCGGCCTGGACCCTCCCAGCCTGCACAAACAGTCTCCTTCTGCAGAGGGAGGCTCCGGGCCTCCCAGGGCCTGCCCAAGGAGGGCCCGCAGGGGGAACAAAGGGGCTCAGACTGTGCCTGTGCAGCTGGCACGGGAAGCCAGACCTTCCCAGTGACTCAGCAAAACAGGGGTGAGCGTTGATAGGAGGAAGTGGGGCAAGAAATTCCTGCCCAACCCTAATCACATCAATGAAGGAGAAAGTCCAGCTGGCTGGGCTGGCACCTGAGCCCACTCTCATTGGCCAGACCTACCTCACCCCCCTGCTGCTGCAGCCAACCAGGCCTGAGACACACAGGGGTGTGTGAGCTCCTTCTTCCCAAGACAGAGGGTGCCCGGCACCTTCCACGGGCCTCCAAGGTCCTGGGACAGCCTGTAACCAGGCCTGGCCCAGCAGGCAGCAGCCTGCAGCCCACAGCTGTCCCTGAGCCCTCCCAGCTGGTCCCACATCCCAGCTCTTGCTTCATATGCAAGGCTCATCACCCTGGACCAGAACCAGAGCTCCCAGAACCAGCTGACTAAGCAGGTCTCTTGATGGGAGGGGGAAACAGCACAGACTAAGCTGGAATCCCCATGGGCCTAACACCACCTGGACCTCCCTCCTCTGTGACAAAGCAGGCTCAGCTGATCCTCTGGGAGGTGACGGAGGGTGATGGGTGATGGAGGGTGATGGGTGACCGAGGGTGATGGGTGACGAGCTGGGAGGGGAGGACCAGGCTGCGCACCTCCAGTGCCCCAGTGGGACCCCAGGACTGCACAGCAGGGGACTTCTGTACCCCTCCAGCTGCACCGAGACCCACGAGGGGGGCTCCAGGGCTGGGTGCCCTTTGCACACGTTCTGTGCCTGACACCAGGCCTCACACAGAGAAGAGCAGATCAGTGACTCGACCAATGGGGAAGAAAAGGGAGGCCATCCATCGTCCACCCAGAGGAAGGCGGTGCAGGTCAGTTGAACCCAGTGCTCCCACAATGCCGAGGACGGATCCTGGCACACAGCCAGGCCTCAGTGAGCACTACTTAGGCTTCACGTGCGCTCCAGGACCAGGGAAGCTTCGGGAATGGGACAGAAGACCAGAGGGGTACAAAGTCAGAGACCAGTGGAATCACCTCAAAGCGAACCAGGAAGTCCTTCAGGTTTGGGAACGCATCCAGGCACTTGGGCTCGAACCTGCGCAGGACATCCAGCATGTCGTACGCCAGGAAGTCCACGTAGGTGAGCTGCAGACAGGACAGAAGGATCAGGTGCCAATCTCTGAACCTGCGAGTATGTCAGCTGCCCCTCCCAGAGACTCCCCTTACCTTGTCCCCGGCCCACCAGGACCTCTTCCCCAGAAACTGGGAGAAAAGCTTCATCTTCTCAGGCAGCACCTTCAAAAACTCAGGCTTCAGTTTCTCCTGAGGCACAAAACAGCTGTCACCACCCACGGACACAGACCCTGGGCCAGACGCTGGCCTCCCAGGGCTGTTCCTGCAGCCCTGGCCCCAGCCGCCAGGGATGAGCAGCCTTGTGCCCCAACCACACCTGGGTGGGTGCCCAGGTTATAATGTAACCCACTGTGTTCATGACACACCTACTGGGTGTGGCCACCCACCAGGGGGAGGTGGTGGGGAAGCAGAGGGCACCCCACTGTCCCTGGCATCTCCAAACACGCTCCTTCAGCTCAGACCCAGGAGCTTGTGGGAGCCCAGCAGAGCCCAGGCCTCAGGCAGAATGAAAGACACAAAGAACCAAAACGTCCCAGGGGAAGAAATGAGGAGTCCCAGCTGCCGGGTGACGGTGTGGACACTCAGCGTGGACACGCGAGCACTGTCTGGACAGATGGGGAGAGCCTGAGGGGCTGGGAGGTAGGAGCAGGAGGCACAGAGGCCCTGGGGAGCCCCCCGATCTGTATCCCATTGGGACCTCTGCTGATGTCTGTGGTGTGAGGGAGGGGGCTGGGATACGGAGCTGAACACACTGCTGGGAACTGAACTTGCACCCTAGGGTGTCTGGACTCTACTATTCATGAGAACTGAGTCAGAGATTTCATCTGAGGCAGGTGGGGGTTGTGGGAGTCTCTCTGCTGACAGGATAGGGACCAGCATGAGGCATCAGAGTCTCCAAGTTCACAGGCAAACAGGGCCAGCACAGAAAGAACACAAGTGCAGTCCCCTCTCAAACCCACCCACCCAGCCCTGCAAGCGGTCACTCACAAATTCAGGACTGTAGCAGACTCTGATCTTGTACATTCGGATGTCCATGATCTCGTTCTCCAAAATGTCCATGCGAATCTTCTCCTCCTCCGTCTCCCCACCTACAGCCACACAACAGAGGCTGTCCCTCAGCATCCCACCCCAGCCAGCCCAGGGCCATGACCCCCTGGACCCCAGCACTGGGACCCAGCCCCACTCACAGAGGTTGTGCTTGCGAGCGATGTAGCGAAGGATGGCGTTGCTCTGGGTGAGCCTGTGAGCCCCGTCAATCAAGTAGGGCAGCTGGAGGGGAGACAGGGGCAGGTCAGGGGGCCAAGGGCTGCCCTGAGCCCCCTCCCTGCCTGTGGGGCACCGATGGGCCTGGCCCACCATGTGCAGCCCAGGGCAGGCACTACGCCAACGTATCACAGAGGATGAGCTGGGCCCCAGGGCATCACAGGACAGCAGTGAGGGGACCAGGGAGCTGAGAGGCTGCACAGAGGCCCCGCATTGCCAAACCCCGTGTGGAAGCTGGGAAAGGAGATCTGAGTGGGGAGACAAGCGCACTCACGCCCACGGCCCCAACCCCTGCACCTACATTGGGGAAGTCCAGGCCCAGCTTGAACTTCTCATTCAGCCACTGGCTTCTGTCGAAGTCGGGAGCTGTGGTGGAGAAGATGGAGTGAAGGAACCCTGCCCCCTGAGGACGACCCCTTCCTTCCCTGGGCGCCGGGCCCTGCAAAGCTGAGTCTGCAGTCTGAACACCAACTCTCTCACCCACGTCGGGGAAACAAGGCTAAGGTCTCAGGCGCCCACAGGAACAAGGCTTCCAAAAAGTTCTGAGGAGCGGCACAAGGGGAGCCACCAGTCACTGACACAGGGGCCCAGCCATCCCCTCTCCTGGGCTGCCCCAAGCCCACCCTCAGGCAGTGGAGGCGGCAGAGCTGAGCCACAGGTGGCCCGGGCATGGGTGCTTGTACCCAGTCAGCAGGAGTGGGCCGAAGTCCCAGTTCAACAGGGATGCACTCACCGTCCCCCATCGGGTACCTCTTCTCCTCGTAGCTGGAGTCTGTGTACTCCAGCAGCAGGCGGATGGCGTGAGCCAGCTGCAAGGCACGGCCAGACCGCGGTCAGGGTTCCAGGGAGGGACCTCGGGACCCGCTCCAATGCGGGAATCCCTGCTCCAACACACAGATCCCCCACCCAGCAGGCGCCCACGAGGTCGCCCACTGATATGTTCTGGGACAGGGTGGGCTCGCCCTGGCCAGCCCTGGGTCAGACCCCTCAGGGGGAACCTGCAGGCCTCCTCCGCCTCTCCACTGGATCCCGCCAGATCTCACCCCCGCGCCCCACGGGCCCCTCGCTCACCCCGCGGATGTCCCAGTAACCCAGAGTCATGGCCATGGTGCTGGTTATCGCGCTGGGAGTGGTCGGGCTTCTTCCAGGCTGGGCTTGGAAACTGGTGTCTGTCCCCGAAGCACGGAGGTGCACACAGCCTTTATTTTCCGCCCCTAGTCCCCGCCCCTAAGTCCGCCCACACCCCACCCCGGAGACCCGTGACTACCCCGCGACTCCCGGGCGGGAGCCAGGGGCCAACAGTATCTGTCCCGAGCGCGGCCCCGGATATTGGGGGACGCAGTCTGGGCCCCAGGACGCCCAAGGTGGGAAGGGCCAGGCTCCTCTGGGTGCCCGCGGCGCTATGCGGCTCCCAGCAAAGCCCACCTGGTTCCCGACGTCCGCCGGCCCAGAGGGAGGGAAAGTGCACAGGGGAGACGCAGCTGAGAAATCTGAACAACAAGGCTCCTCTGGCCTCCCTCCCCTCTGGGCACCGCCCCCTGGAGGGCAGAGTTCCCCTTAAAGCCAAAGGTGGGCAGGCCCTTCACAGCCAGAGTGTCCCTCTGCTCCTGTCCAGGGGATTCCCGCCAGCCTGCAAGCTCCTCCAGGATCTGGGAATGCCCGAAGCCAGGGCTCTCCCAGCCCTCACCAGCAGGGGGAGAGCGACTCCTGGGGCCAGAGACGAGACAGGGAGCCTCCGGCTGATGGTTTCAATTCCTGTGCTTTGGAGGACCCCGCTCCTAAGTCCTGTGTCTAAGAGTGATAAGAATCAAATGCAAAGTAATCAGTTAGGCTTATGGTCAAAGTTGTTGATTAAAATTCAGAACCAGCTCCCACAGAGAGACAGGTATGGAGGCGCAGTCCCTAACACCCTGCTAGATGTCCCCAGCACTGACCGATACTGACCAGAACAGGACGGGAGCATGCGGGTCACACAGGCAGGTGAGAGGAGAGGGAGAGCTGTCTCCTGAGGGACCAGGCTCCTGTGCAGCTGCCAGGACAGCACAGAGTGGGGGGCCAGCAGGAGCCAAGGACACCTCCCAGGACCACCGCCAGGGTGGTCTGCAGACCCTCCTGCTGGCACAGAGGGTTGTCCACAGGGGCCACCTGGAGTCAGTCCCGCCCTGGGTCGGCTGCTGTGGGCACCAGGCAGAGGATCTGGGATGAGACAATGAGAACTGGGCCGAGAAGGGGGTGGGTGGCCAGGCAGCCTGGTCCTCCAGGGTCCAGGAGTGGTGCGCTTCTGCCTGTCAGACCGCAGGCCCCTCCCACCCCTGGGCCCTGGGTCAGGCCAGGCCCGGGAGCCTGCCTCTGCCCTGCAGAGTCTCAGACCCCACAGAACACGTCAGTAATGAAACCTACACGTCAGTTCCTATGTACATGGGATCGGTCGTAATGCACTCACGAGCCACTCTGTGGCTTTTGACATAGGATGTTCTTCTGGGTAACCCCCCAGAGTAGAACAGAGGACACTCCCACCCATCTCAAGGTCCCGCCAACGAGCAACCCTGCACACACAAGGGCCCCACTCAGCTGACCTCCGTCACCTTGGATTCGTCTGGCGTGTTCACTTTCAGGCACATACAGCTGGGAAGCATGTATTTTTACATCTGCATCCTTTTGCCAAGACTGCCCAAGTGAGAGTCGTCCCAGTTGCTGGGTTCACAGTGGGGCGTTTATTCCATTAGAGTATTGTGTGCTCACGGTCACGTGGGACTCCATCAAGGGACAATGGACTCGGGGTGATAAACCAAGTCGATCTGTCCCTACTTCCACTGAGAAACATTTGCATTATTGCCAATCATCGGCTACTTCAGATAAAGCTGCGAGGGTACTGTGAGCACCCCTGGAAGACACAGGCACTCATCCCTGTTGAACTTGAACTCGGAGCAGGATCCCAGGGCAGAGGCTCCATGCTCCTTCCATCCCAGCTGGCACTGCTGGTGTCCACGTGCTTGTGCCCCGGCAGTCAGTGAATGGCACCTCCAGTGACTTCATGAGTTCAACCATTGTCAAGCCTTGCATTTTTTTAAAGATTATTTTTATTTGTGTTTAGAGAGAGGGGGAGGGAAGGAGAGAGAGAGGGACAGAAAGATCAACTGGCCGCCTCTCACCTGCACCTGAACCAGGGACCAGGCTCCAACCCTCACGTGTGTCCAGACTGAGAATCGAACCTTTGCTTCATGGGCTGATGCTCAACCACATGAGCGACACCAGTCAGGACCAGTCGTCCATCCTCTCACCTTTAGCCTGTGTGGATACGCAATAGGGTTCAACTGCGCTTCTGACTTCTCTGCTACATGAGGTCATTCAGCACAGTTTCATATGCTTCGTGGCCATTGGATGTTATCTCTCGGGAATCATCTGTTCAAGGCTGGGACCTTTGTTCACGGGGTGGCATTTTGGGTGAGAGTCTTTTCTGGATAAGAAGCCTTGGATGCTTTGCAATATTGTCTCCAGCTGAGCCTGCCCGAACACCAGACTCACAAAATCAGGAGCTCCTCCCAGCGGCACCAAAGGGGGAGCCCTGCGCTCCAGGAAACGCCCTCTCCAGCAGCACAATTTGCAGCATCATGTACAATTACTTCCAGCCCTGGCTGGTGTGGCTCAGTGGGCCGAGTGTGGCCTGCAAACCAAAGCACTGTCAGTTCTCTTCCCAGCCAGGACACAGGCATGGGTTGGGGGCCAGGTCCTCAGTAGAGGGCGAGCAAGAAGCAACCACACATTCATGAGTCCCTCTCTTTCTCCCTCCCTTTCCTCTGTCTACAAAAAAATAAGAAGAGTAATAAAATCAAATAAAATATAATAAAAAGAAACAAAATCACTTCCAAACCCTGTATTGCCAATGTGGGGAGGGTGACTGTGGTGACAGTGGAGGAAACCTAGGCTTAGATATTTACAGAAGGGGGTGACACGGAGGACATCCTGTAGCTCGCCACCCAGGACCTGGCGAGCTCAGAATGGCAAGAAGAGCCTAAAAGCTACTTATGTTTATAACAATGTGACTCAAGCTTTTGGTCCGACATCTGCTCGGGCGGCAGGCGCTCCTCGAGTCTCCCTATGGCTCCCAAGGACGCCATGAAGAAGAAAGGTGCGGGAGGGTCGGCCAGGAAAGACAGAGACCCGGTGAACACATCCGGGGCAAGGCCACAAAGCAGCGGTCCACAGGCAGAGTTGGGGACAAGCTCAGTCACCTAGACCTGTCTGAAAACAACACCTGCTCCCTCTGTAAGGAGCTCCCAGCTACTACCCCAGCAGCTGTCCCCGAGCCACTGGAGAGCCGCGCTGCCTTGGCCAGGGCAGCCCTGCAGGAGCCCCGCAGTGGAGGGCTTGGGAAGCCGGTTTCCAGTCACAGAGCTCCAGGACTTCACACCAGAGACCCCATGGCCAGGGACGCCCCAGCAGCTGGGGAAGATGCAGAGCAACAGGGACCACCAGCTGTACATTTTGAAAAATAAAACTTTATTAAGTGACTCATGTCGCACTTGCATCACCTTTCCCGCCAGCAGGGCGGGATCCCAGAGGCTGAGCAGCTCCATCGGCGGTCTGAAGGTCTGCGTTGTGGAGCTCCACACCCGATCAGACAACCAGTTCACTGCACACCGGGACAGACGGTTCGCAGAGCTGCAAGGACTGAAGGAATGCCTCTTAGGGTGCCTGTGACCACCAGGGAGCAAGCCCACATCCAAGTCCTAGAGCAGCTGGCAGCAGCCTGCAGAGGGCGCTGTGACGACCTCTGACAGGAGCACACACATGGAATCCCGGGGACCTCCCAGCTGTGATGAAGCAGACCATGCAGAAGGGAGAAGACCCCTGGCCCCCCCACTGCGGACCCTCAAGGCCCCTGGGCCCCATGCACTAAGACACAAAGCCCTGCCCGGTGAGCCCCCGAGAGTGAGGGTGAGTGACTGAGACAGGCAGGTCCGGAAAGAGGTCTCCCTTCTACAGAGAGCCCCACGAGAGCTCCTGTACCACAGGTGTCAGAAATAGAAACTAGAGGTCTCAATGCACCTTCCTCCCACCCAGGATCTGGAAGGAACCACCCCTGCCAGCATCACCACTGAGACCCTTGGATCAGCAGGGCCCACTGGAGAAATCAGGTGGTGGGGGCAGACCGAGGCACAGCACTGGGACTGGGCTTCTCGGGGACCAGGCAGGGCTGGGAGGGACAGCGCTGGGGGCAGGGCCTGCACCCTGGCCATACTGGACTTCAGGGTGGTGCAGGGAGATCAGCGGAGATCTACAAGCCAAGGGTCCTCGGGGGCTCTTCAAAGCAGAGCAACGAATGAGGGGTGGTCGGTCTTACTGGCTTCAAAGCAAGAGGATTAATGTGGGAGGCCTGGAAATTCCCTGAAAAAGGGGGTGCTGGAGCGAGAAAGCCTGGATGAGAGGGGTGTTAACAGGCAAGTAAGGGGCCACTGAGGCTGCTGGAGAGGGAAGGGGTGAGGCAAGGAGGTTGCAAGGAGAAAAGGGAGCAGAGCAGACGGTTCTAAGTGGCAGAAATCTCCAGGTGTGCCCCTCGCTCCCGTCTCCTGCACTCACAGGCCCTACTTGTTGCCCCACGCGGCCAACTTGGAGTACAGAGGGGTCGGCAGGAAGCGGCTGGACTTCATGTAGGCAGAGATCTTCTTCAGGCCCTGAGGGAGGGGAGGAAGGCCGGACATCAGGGGCTGCTTCTCCGCTCACCCTGGGCTCCCCCAGCCCCAAGGCAGGCACTGCCAGGTCAGGGTCCTTCCAGGACCTCCACCTGGGGTCGGGCACTGGGGCAGAGGGCAGCTTTCCTGGGGTCCGCAGCTCTCCCGAGCTGACTCCCAGGTTCCCCTAACTCATGTGACTCCTTAGTGAGGGTCACCACACACCAGGGTCTGCGCCACACCAGGTGCGCTATACCCACTAGAGATCGTGACGCATGGTCACAACTGCACACACCTCCCCACAAGGGAAGTGCTGCCATCACCGTGTATCGCACGGAAACCCAGGCGCACAGGCCTACAGGCAGCACCTTCCTCCGGCCCCACTGCCAGGCTCTGGGAGGACTGGAGGCAGCCTGGCTCTCTCTGACTATGGCTCCTGCTGCGGCACCACCCTCCTGCCTCCCACACAGGCGGCCTGGACCCTCCCAGCCTGCACAAACAGTCTCCTTCTGCAGAGGGAGGCTCCGGGCCTCCCAGGGCCTGCCCAAGGAGGGCCCAGAGGGGGAACAAAGGGGCTCAGACTGTGCCTGTGCAGTTGGCACGGGAAGCCAAACCTCGCAGTGACTCAGCAAAACAGGGGTGAATGCTGATAGGAGCAAGAAATTCCCGCCCAACCCTAATCACATCAATGAAGGAGAAAGTCCAGCTGGCTGGCCTGGGGCCTGAGCTCACCCTCACTGGCCAGACCTACCTCACCCCCCTGCTGCTGCAGCCAACCAGGCCTGAGACACACAGGGGGTGTGTGAGCTCCTTCTTCCCAAGACAGAGGGTGCCCGGCACCTTCCACAGGGCCTCCAAGGTCCTGGGACAGCCTGTAACCAGGCCTGGCCCAGCAGGCAGCAGCCTGCAGCCCACAGCTGTCCCTGAGCCCTCCCAGCTGGTCCCACATCCCAGCTCTTGCTTCATATGCAAGGCTCATCACCCTGGACCAGAACCAGAGCTCCCAGAACCAGCTGACTAAGCAGGTCTCTTGATGGGAGGGGGGGAAACAGCACAGACTAAGCTGGAATCCCCATGGGCCTAACACCACCTGGACCTCCCTCCTCTGTGACAAAGCAGGCTCAGCTGATCCTCTGGGAGGTGACGGAGGGTGATGGGTGATGGAGGGTGATGGGTGACCGAGGGTGATGGGTGACGAGCTGGGAGGGGAGGACCAGGCTGCGCACCTCCAGTGCCCCAGTGGGACCCCAGGACTGCACAGCAGGGGACTCCTGTACCCCTCCAGCTGCACCGAGACCCACGAGGGGGGCTCCAGGGCTGGGTGCCCTTTGCACACGTTCTGTGCCTGACACCAGGCCTCACACAGAGAAGAGCAGATCAGTGACTCGACCAATGGGGAAGAAAAGGGAGGCCATGCATCGTCCACCCAGAGGAAGGCGGTGCAGGTCAGTTGAACCCAGTGCTCCCACAATGCCGAGGACGGATCCTGGCACACAGCCAGGCCTCAGTGAGCGCTACTTAGGCTTCACGTGCGCTCCAGGACCAGGGAAGCTTCGGGGAATGGGACAGAAGACCAGAGGGGTACAAAGTCAGAGACCAGTGGAATCACCTCAAAGCGAACCAGGAAGTCCTTCAGGTTTGGGAACGCATCCAGGCACTTGGGCTCGAACCTGCGCAGGACATCCAGCATGTCGTACGCCAGGAAGTCCACGTAGGTGAGCTGCAGACAGGACAGAAGGATCAGGTGCCAATCTCTGAACCTGCGAGTATGTCAGCTGCCCCTCCCAGAGACTCCCCTTACCTTGTCCCCGGCCCACCAGGCCCTCTTCCCCAGAAACTGGGAGAAGAGCTTCACCTTCTCAGGCAGCACCTTCAGGTACTCAGGCTTCAGTTTCTCCTGAGGCACAAAACAGCTGTCACCACCCACGGACACAGACCCTGGGCCAGACGCTGGCCTCCCAGGGCTGTTCCTGCAGCCCCGGCCCCAGCCGCCAGGGATGAGCAGCCTTGTGCCCCAACCACACCTGGGTGGGTGCCCAGGTTATAATGTAACCCACTGTGTTCATGACACACCTACTGGGTGTGGCCACCCACCAGGGGGAGGTGGTGGGGAAGCAGAGGGCACCCCACTGTCCCTGACATCTCTATACACGTTCCCTCAGCTCAGACCCAGGAGCTTGTGGGAGCCCAGCAGAGCCCAGGCCTCAGGCAGAATGAAAGACACAAAGAACCAAAACGTCCCAGGGGAAGAAATGAGGAGTCCCAGCTGCCGGGTGACAGCATGGACACTCAGCGTGGACACTCAGCGTGGACTCGTGAGCACTGTCTGGACAGATGGGGAGAGCCTGAGGGGCTGGGAGGGAGGAGCAGGAGGCACAGAGGCCCTGGGGGGCCCCCCAATCTGTGTCCCACTGGAACCTCTGCTGATGTCTGTGGTGCGGGGGAGGGGGCTGGGATACGGAGCTGAACACACTGCTGGGAACTGAACTTGCACCCTAGGGTGTCTGGACTCTACTATTCATGAGAACTGAGTCAGAGATTTCATCTGAGGCAGGTGGGGGTCATGTGTGGGTCTCTCTGCTGACAGTATAGGGACCAGCATGAGGCATCAGAAGCTCCAAGTTCACAGGCAAACAGGGCCAGCACAGAACGATCACCAGTGCAGTCCCCTCTCAAACCCACCCACCCAGCCCTGCAAGCGGTCACTCACAAAGTCAGGACTGTAGCATATCCTGCCTTGGTGCATTCGGATGTCCATGATCTCGTTCTCCAAAATGTCCATGCGAATCTTCTCCTCTTCCGTCTCCCCACCTACAGCCACACAACAGAGGCTCTCCCTCTGCATCCCACCCCAGCCAGCTCAGGGCCATGACCCCCTGGACCCCAGCACTGGGACGCAGCCCCACTCACAGAGGTTGTGCTTGCGAGCGATGTAGCGAAGGATGGCATTGCTCTGGGTGACCTTGTGAGCCCCGTCAATCAAGTAGGGCAGCTGGAGGGGAGACAGGGGCAGGTCAGGAGGCCAAGGGCTGCCCTGAGCCCCCTCCCTGCCTGTGGGGGCACCGATGGGCCTGGCCCACCTTGTGCAGCCCAGGGCAGGCACTACGCCGATGTATCACAGAGGATGAGCTGAGCCCCAGGGCATCACAGTACAGCAGTGAGGGGACCAAGGGAGCTGAGAGGCTGCACAGAGGCCCCGCATTGCCAAACCCCGTGTGGAAGCTGGGAAAGGAGATCTGAGTGGGGAGACAAGCGCACTCACGCCCACGGCCCCAACCCCTGCACCTACATTGGGGAAGTCCAGGCCCAGCTTGAACTTCTCATTCAGCCACTGGCTTCTGTCGAAGTCGGGAGCTGTGGTGGAGAAGATGGAGTGAAGGAACCTGCCCCCTGAGGACGACCCCTTCCTTCCCTGGGCGCCGGGCCCTGCAAAGCTGAGTCTGCAGTCTGAACACCAACTCTCTCACCCACGTCGGGGAAACAAGGCTAAGGTCTCAGGCGCCCACAGGAACAAGGCTTCCAAAAAGATCTGAGGAGCGGCACAAGGGGAGCCCCCAGTCACTGACACAGGGGCCCAGCTGTCCCCTCTCCTGGGCTGCCCCAAGTCCACTCTCAGGCAGTGGAGGCGGCAGAGGTGAGCCACAGGTGGCCCGGGCATGGGTGCTTGTACCCAGTCAGCAGGAGTGGGGCCGAAGTCCGAGCTCAACAGGGATGCACTCACCGTCCCCCATCGGGTACCTCTTCTCCTCGTAGCTGGAGTCTGTGTACTCCAGCAGCAGGCGGATGGCGTGAGCCAGCTGCAAGGCAAGGCCGGACCGCGGTCAGGGTTCCAGGGAGGGACCTCGGGACCCGCTCCAATGCGGGAATCCCTGCTCCAACACACAGATCCCCCACCCAGCAGGCGCCCACGAGGTCGCCCACTGATATGTTCTGGGACAGGGTGGGCTCGCCCTGGCCAGCCCTGGGTCAGACCCCTCAGGGGGAACCTGCAGGCCTCCTGCGCCTCTCCACTGGATCCCGCCAGATCTCACCCCCGCGCCCCACGGGCCCCTCGCTCACCCCGCGGATGTCCCAGTAACCCAGAGTCATGGCCATGGTGCTGGTTATCGCGCTGGGAGTGGTCGGGCTTCTTCCAGGCAGAGCTTGGAAACTGGTGTCTGTCCCTGAAGCACGGAGGGGCACACAGCCTTTATTTTCCGCCCCTAGTCCCCGCCCCTAAGTCCGCCCACACCCCACCCCGGAGACCCGTGACTACCCCGCGACTCCCGGGCGGGAGCCAGGGGCAACAGTATCTGTCCCGAGCGCGGCCCCGGATATTGGGGGACGCAGTCTGGGCCCCAGGACGCCCAAGGTGGGAAGGGCCAGGCTCCTCTGGGTGCCCGCGGCGCTATGCGGCTCCCAGCAAAGCCCACCTGGTTCCGACGTCCGCCGGCCCAGAGGGAGGGAAAGTGCACAGGGGAGACGCAGCTGAGAAATCTGAACAACAAGGCTCCTCTGGCCTCCCTCCCCTCTGGGCACCGCCCCCTGGAGGGCAGAGTTCCCCTTAAAGCCAAAGATGGGCGGGCCCTTCACAGCCAGAGTGTCCCTCAGCGCCTGTCCATGGGAGTCCCGCCAGCCTGCAAGCTCTCCCAGGATCTGGGAATGCCCGAAGCCAGGGCTCTCCCAGCCCTCACCAGCAGGGGGAGAGCGACTCCTGGGGCCAGAGACGAAACAGGGAGCCTGGGGCTGATGGTTTCAATTCCTGTGCTTTGGAGGACCCCGCTCCTAAGTCCTGTGTCTAAGAGTGATAAGAATCAAATGCAAAGTAATCAGTTAGGCTTATGGTCAAAGTTGTTGATTAAAATTCAGAACCAGCTCCCACAGAGAGACAGGTATGGAGGCGCAGTCCCTAACACCCTGCTAGATGTCCCCAGCACTGACCGATACTGACCAGAACAGGACGGGAGCATGCGGGTCACACAGGCAGGTGAGAGGAGAGGGAGAGCTGTCTCCTGAGGGACCAGGCTCCTGTGCAGCTGCCAGGACAGCACAGAGTGGGGGGCCAGCAGGAGCCAAGGACACCTCCCAGGACCACCGCCAGGGTGGTCTGCAGACCCTCTTGCTGGCACAGAGGGTTGTCCACAGGGGCCACCTGGAGTCAGTCCCGCCCTGGGTCGGCTGCTGTGGGCACCAGGCAGAGGATCTGGGATGAGACAATGAGACATGGGCCGAGAAAGGGGGTGGGTGGCCAGGCAGCCTGGTCCTCCAGGGTCCAGGAGTGGTGCGCTTCTGCCTGTCAGACCGCAGGCCCCTCCCACCCCTGGGCCCTGGGTCAGGCCAGGCCCGGGAGCCTGCCTCTGCCCTGCAGAGTCTCAGACCCCACAGAACACGTCAGTAATGAAACCTACACGTCAGTTCCTATGTACATGGGATCGGGTCGTAATGCACTCACGAGCCACTCTGTGGCTTTTGACATAGGATGTTCTTCTGGGTAACCCCCCCAGAGTAGAACAGAGGACACTCCCACCCATCTCAAGGTCCCGCCAACGAGCAACCCTGCACACACAAGGGCCCCACTCAGCTGACCTCCGTCACCTTGGATTCGTCTGGCGTGTTCACTTTCAGGCACATACAGCTGGGAAGCATGTATTTTTACATCTGCATCCTTTTGCCAAGACTGCGCAAGTGAGAGTCGTCCCAGTTGCTGGGTTCACAGTGGGGCATTTATTCCATTAGAGTATTGTGTGCTCACGGTCACGTGGGACTCCATCAAGGGACAATGGACTCGGGGTGATAAACCAAGTCGATCTGTCCCTACTTCCACTGAGAAACATTTGCATTATTGCCAATCATCGGCTACTTCAGATAAAGCTGCGAGGGTACTGTGAGCACCCCTGGAACACACAGGCACTCATCCCTGTTGAACTTGAACTCGGAGCAGGATCCCAGGGCAGAGGCTCCATGCTCCTTCCATCCCAGCTGGCACTGCTGGTGTCCACGTGCTTGTGCCCCGGCAGTCAGTGAATGGCACCTCCAGTGACTTCATGAGTTCAACCATTGTCAAGCCTTGCATTTTTTTAAAGATTATTTTTTATTTGTGTTTTAGAGAGAGGGGGAGGGAAGGAGAGAGAGAGGGACAGAAACATCAACTGGCCGCCTCTCACCTGCACCTGAACCAGGGACCAGGCTCCAACCCTCACGTGTGTCCAGACTGAGAATCGAACCTTTGCTTCATGGGCTGATGCTCAACCACATGAGCGACACCAGTCAGGACCAGTCGTCCATCCTCTCACCTTTAGCCTGTGTGGATACGCAATAGGGTTCAACTGCGCCTCTGACTTCTCTGCTACATGAGGTCATTCAGCACAGTTTCATATGCTTCGTGGCCATTGGATGTTATCTCTCGGGAATCATCTGTTCAAGGCTGGGGCCTTTGTTCACGGGGTGGCATTTTGGGTGAGAGTCTTTTCTGGATAAGAGGCCTTGGATGCTTTGCAATATTGTCTCCAGCTGAGCCTGCCCAAACTCCAGACTACAAAATCAGGAGCTCCTCCCAGCGGCACCAACGGGGGAGCCCTGTGCTGCAGGAAACCCCCTCTCCAGCAGCACAGTTTGCAGCATCATGTACAATTACTTCCAGCCCTGGCTGGTGTGGCTCAGTGGGCCGAGTGTGGCCTGCAAACCAAAGCACTGTCAGTTCTCTTCCCAGCCAGGACACAGGCATGGGTTGGGGGCCAGGTCCTCAGTAGAGGGCGAGCAAGAAGCAACCACACATTCATGAGTCCCTCTCTTTCTCCCTCCCTTTCCTCTGTCTACAAAAATAAGAAGAGTAATAAAATCAAATAAAATATAATAAAAAGAAACAAAATCACTTCCAAACCCTGTATTGCCAATGTGGGGAGGGTGACTGTGGTGACAGTGGAGGAAACCTAGGCTTAGATATTTACAGAAGGGGGTGACACGGAGGACATCCTGTAGCTCGCCACCCAGGACCTGGCGAGCTCAGAATGGCAAGAAGAGCCTAAAAGCTACTTATGTTTATAACAATGTGACTCAAGCTTTTGGTCCGACATCTGCTCGGGCGGCAGGCGCTCCTCGAGTCTCCCTATGGCTCCCAAGGACGCCATGAAGAAGAAAGGTGCGGGAGGGTCGGCCAGGAAAGACAGAGACCCGGTGAACACATCCGGGGCAAGGCCACAAAGCAGCGGTCCACAGGCAGAGTCGGGGACAAGCTCAGTCACCTAGACCTGTCTGAAAACAACACCTGCTCCCTCTGTAAGGAGCTCCCAGCTGCTACCCCAGCAGCTGTCCCCGAGCCACTGGAGAGCCGCGCTGCCTTGGCCAGGGCAGCCCTGCAGGAGGCCCGCAGTGGAGGGCTTGGGAAGCCGGTTTGCAGGCACAGAGCTCCAGCACCTCACACCAGAGACCCCACGGCCAGGGACGCCCCAGCAGCTGGGGAAGATGCAGAGCAACAGGGACCACCAGCTGTACATTTTGAAAAATAAAACTTTATTAAGTGACTCATGTCGCACTTGCATCACCTTTCCTGTCAGCAGGGCGGGATCCCAGAGGCTGAGCAGCTCCATCGGCGGTCTGAAGGTCTGCGTTGTGGAGCTCCACACCCGACCAGACCACCAGTTCGCTGCACACCGGGACAGACGGTTTGCAGAGCTGCAAGGACTGAAGGAATGCCTCTCAGGGCGCCTGTGACCACCAGGGAGTAAGCCCACATCCAAGTCCTAGAGCAGCTGGCAGCAGCCTGCAGAGGGCGCTGTGACGACCTCTGACAGGAGCACACACATGGAATCCCGGGGACCTCCCAGCTGTGATGAAGCAGACCATGCAGAAGGGAGAAGACCCCTGGCCCCCCCACTGCGGACCCTCAAGGGCCCTGGGCCCCACGCACTAAGACACAAAGCCCTGCCCGGTGAGCCCCCGAGAGTGAGGGTGAGTGACTGAGACAGGCAGGTCCGGAAAGAGGCCTCCCTTCTACAGAGAGCCCCACGAGAGCTCCTGCTCCACAGGTGTCAGAAATAGAAACTAGAGGTCTCAATATACCTTCCTCCCACCCAGGATCTGGAAGGAACCACCCCTGCCAGCATCACCTCTGAGACCCTTGGATCAACAGGACCCACTAGAGAAATCAGGTGGTGGGGGGAGACCGAGGCACAGCACTGGGACTGGGCTTCTCGGGGACCAGGCAGGGCTGGGACGGACCGGGCTAGGGGCAGGGCCTGCACCCTGGTGATACTGGACTTCAGGGTGGTGCAGGGAGATCAGGGCTGAGCTCCTCAGGCCAGGGGTCCGGGTGGGCTCCCATATCGAATGCAATCACTGACAGAAACATCTGTCTGTCTTGATTTAGTGCCATAGGACCAATGCTGGGGGCGGGGGGAGACTTCACTGAGCAAAGGGTGAGGGAAGGCCTGAGATCCCAGGAGAACTTCGACTGGGAAGGGAAAGGCGCCCCACAGGACCGGAGTTTGGGTGGCAGAAAGAACAGAAGAGAACAGCTGTGTCCGTGGGTTCAGGAAGGACCCGCCGTTCCCCAGGCCCCCTGTGCCCCTCGCTCCCGTCTCCTGCACTCACAGGCCCTACTTGTTGCCCCACGTGGCAGGCTTTGTGTACACAGGGGTTGGCAGGAAGCGGCTGGACTTCATGTAGGCAGAGATCTTCTTCAGGCCCTGAGGGAGGGGAGGAAGGCCGGACATCAGAGGCTGCTGCTCTGCCCACCCTGGGCTCCCCCAGCCCCAAGGCAGGCACTGCCAGGTCAGGGTCTGGCCAGGACCTCCACCTGGGGCCGGGCACTGGGGCAGAGGGCAGCCTTCCTGGGGTCCGCAGCTCTCCCGAGCTGACTCCCAGGTTCCCCTAACTCATGTGACTCCTTAGTGAGGGTCACCACACACCAGGGTCTGCGCCACACCAGGTGCGCTATACCCACTAGAGATCGTGACGCATGGTCACAACTGCACACACCTCCCCACAAGGGAAGTGCTGCCATCACCGTGTATCGCACGGAAACCCAGGCGCACAGGCCTGCAGGCAGCACCTTCCTCCGGCCCCACTGCCAGGCTCTGGGAGGGCTGGAGGCAGCCTGGCTCTCTCTGACTCTGGCTCCTCCTGTGGCAGCGCCCTCCTGCCTCCCACACAGGCGGCCTGGACCCTCCCAGCCTGCACAAACAGTCTCCTTCTGCAGAGGGAGGCTCCGGGCCTCCCAGGGGCTGCCCAAGGAGGGCCCGCAGGGGGAACAAAGGGGCTCAGACTGTGCCTGTGCAGCTGGCACGGGAACCCAGCCCTCCCCAGTGACTCAGCAAAACAGGAGTAAGCGTTGATAGGAGGAAGAAATTCCCGCCCAACCCTAATCACATCAATGAAGGAGAAAGTCCAGCTGGCTGGCCTGGGGTCTGAGCTCACGCTCACTGGCCAGACCTACCTCACCCCTGTGCTGCTGCAGCCAACCAGGCCTGAGACACACAGGGGTGTGTGAGCTCCTTCTTCCCAAGACAGAGGGTGCCCAGCACGTTCCATGGGCCTCCAAGGTCCTGGGACAGCCTGTAACCAGGCCTGGCCCAGCAGGCAGCAGCCTGCAGCCCACAGCTGTCCCTGAGCCCTCCCAGCTGGTCCCACATCCCTGGGCCAGAAGCAGAGCTCACAGACCCTGGTTGGGGGCTCCAGAGCTGGATCACCTTTGCAGCAGCTCTATGCCTGACATCGGGCCTCACAGAGAGAAGGGCAATCAGTGAATACGCCTGGAAATCCATGTACCACCCGCTCTCAGGACACTAGCTTGGGTAATTAGAGAGAAGGACAGAGAGGCAGGAAGTGCAAGAACGTGCCCACCACTGAAGACATCAAGATAAAACGCTTCCGCAGGGGAGCTTGCACGTGCTCTCAGGCCCCATACCCCCTGCCGCCCTGAAATCTCAGCACTGGCCAGAGTGCTCAGCACTGCTCAGCACTATCCTGTTGTGCAAAGCTGTTTGGACACACGGAGTAAATACTGTGTGTGTCTTTGGTACCCCTGCGCCTCAACACCAATTTTGTTGCATGCAAACACCTGGACCCTCTGCCTCCCCCCATGCCCTGAGCTGTGCCCCAGGCTGCAGAAGGGCCTGCACCCTGCTTTCTGGCCCAGGAAAGGGAAGCCACTGACGCCTGCCCACAGAGGCTGTTAACTCTGACTGCGAGCCCAGCACAGCCCAGGGCCAGGGCTGTGACCTTGAGCAAAGGCCTTAGTCTTTCACCCTCATTTCATTATCTGTAAAAGGGAAGGAGGCCATCCATCGTCCACCCAGAGGAAGGCGGTGCAGGTCAGTTGAACCCAGTGCTCCCACAATGCCGAGGACGGATCCTGGCACACAGCCAGGCCTCAGTGAGCGCTACTTAGGCTTCACGTGCGCTCCAGGACCAGGGAAGCTTGGGGAATGGGACAGAAGACGAGAGGGGTACAAAGTGAGAGACCAGTGGAATCACCTCTATTCGGGTAATGAAGTCCTTCAGGTTTGGGAACGCATCCAGGCACTTGGGCTCGAACATGCGGTGCAGGTCGAGGATGTCGTACGCCAGGAAGTCCACGTAGGTGAGCTGCAGACAGGACAGAAGGAACGGGTGCCAATCTCTGAACCTGCGAGTATGTCAGCTCCCCCTCCCAGAGACTCCCCTTACCTTGTCCCCTGCAAACCAGGCCCTCTTCCCCAGAAACTGGGAGAAGAGCTTCATCTTCTCAGGCAGCACCTTCAGGTACTCAGGCTTCAGTTTCTCCTGAGGCACAAAACAGCTGTCACTATCCAGGGACACAGACCCTGGGCCAGACGCTGGCCTCCCAGGGCTGTTCCTGCAGCCCCGGCCCCAGCGCCAGGGATGAGCAGCCTTGTGCCCCAACCACACCTGGGTGGGTGCCCAGGTTATAATGTAACCCACTGTGTTCATGACACACCTACTGGGTGTGGCCCCCCACGGGGGGGGGGGGAGGCGGTGGGGAAGCAGAAGACACCCCACTGTCCCTGACATCAAACACGCTCCCTCAGCTCAGACCCAGGAGCTTGTGGGAGCCCAGCAGAGCCCAGGCCTCAGGCAGAATGAAAGACACAAAGAACCAAAACGTCCCAGGGGAAGAAATGAGGAGTCCCAGCTGCCGGGTGACGGCATGGACACTCAGCGTGGACACTCGAGCACTGTCTGGACAGATGGGGAGAATCTGAGAGGCTGGGAGGCAGGAAGGGGAGGCACAGAGGCCCTGGGGTGCCCCCTGCGCTGCGTCCCACTGGGACCTCTGCTGATGTCTGTGGTGTGAGGGAGGAGGCTGGGATACAGAGCTGAACACACTGCTGGGAACTGAACTTGCACCCTTGGGTGTCTGGACTCTACTATAATATTCATGAGAACTGAGTCAGAGATTTCATCTGAGGCAGGTGGGGGTTGTGTGGGTCTTTCTGCTGACAGTATAGGGACCAGCATGGAGCGTCAGAAGCTGCAAGTTCACAGGCAAACAGGGCCAGGGTGGAGGAGACAGAAGTGTACAGGCTCTGAACAAAGCCTGCACAGCTGAGCTCAGCCAGAGACGACTCACATAGTCAGGGCTGTAGCAGACATTGGCCAACTGATTGGACGTATCCATGGCCTCGTTCTCCAAAATGTCCACGCGAATCTTCTCCTCCTCCGTCTCCCCACCTACAGCCACACAACAGAGGCTCTCCCTCAGCAACCCACCCCAGCCAGCCCCGGGGCTCGGCCACTTGTCCCCTGGCCCCCGGCCCCCACCCCACTCACAGAGGTTGTGCTTGCGAGCGATGTAGCGAAGGATGGCATTGCTCTGGGTGAGCCTGTGAGCCCCGTCAATCAAGTAGGGCAGCTGGAAGGGCAACAGGAGCAGGTCAGTGGGCCACAGGCTGCCTTGGAACTCATCCCTAAGTTTGGGGCAGGGATGAAGTCGGGCTTCTCGGAGTCTGGCCCGTGGCAGGTGCTAAGCACATACGGGGTCCAGAAGATGTAAGACCTTCTTGAGTGTGATTGATAGGGCAATGATATGGTTGCAATAATTTAAAGTTTAATTTGAACAATTCACCTAAAATGTCATATGGTATGCTTGAGTGTGATAGTGTTATAATGCAGAAGTACATGCTTATACTTTTGCAATAAAAGATTTTTAAATAAAGAAGAGGGGAGTTATTTGTGCCAGACCCTGTATATCATAAAATGAAAGGATAAGCTGGGCCCCAGGGCATCACAGGACAGCAGCAAGGGGACCAGGGAGCTGAGAGGCTGCACAGAGGCCCCGCATTGCCAAACCCCGTGTGGAAGCTGGGAAAGGAGATCTGAGTGGAGACAAGCGCACTCACGCCCACGGCCCCATCCCCTGCACCTACATTGGGGAAGTCCAGGCCCAGCTTGAACTTCTCATTCAGCCACTGGCTTCTGTCGAAGTCAGGAGCTGTGGTGGAGAAGATGGAGTGAAGGAACCTGCCCCCTGAGGACAACCCCTTCCCTGGGTGCCAGGGCCCTGCAAAGCTGAGTCTGCAATCTGAACACCAACTCTCTCACCCACGTGGGGGTGAAACACCAAAGTCTCAGGCGCCCACAAGGATAAGGCTTCCATGAAGTGCAGAGGAGCCCAAGAGGAGCCACCAGTCACTGACACAGGGGCCAAGCCTTCCTTCCCCTCTCCCGTGCTGGCTGGAAGCCCCAAGTCCACCCTCAGGCAGTGGAGGCGGCAGAGGTGAGCCACAGGTGGCCTGGGCACGGGTGCTTGGTACCCAGTCAGCAGGAGTGGGGCTGAGGTCAGAACGCGACAGGGATGCACTCACCGTCCCCCATCGTGTACCGCTTCTCCTGGTAGCTGGAGTCTGTGTACTCCAGCAGCAGGCGGATGGCGTGAGCCAGCTGCAAGGGACGGCCGGACCGCGGTCAGGGTTCCAGGGCCGGATCGCTCGACTCGCTCTGCTACGGGAACCCCTCCCCCAACACACAGACACCCCCACCCCGCAGGCGCCCACGCGCTCGCCCCCCGGAGATGGACCGGAGTAGGGTTGGCTCGGCCAGCCCCGAGTAAGTTCCTTTGGGACGAACCAGCCCCGGCAGCTCTGCCTCTCCCCGCCCTCCGGCCTCATCCCTCCCGGGCGCCCGGGCGGACCCCTCGCTCACCCCGCGAATGTCCCAGTAACCCAGAGTCATTGCCATGGTCAGCGTTCTTTGGCTTCAGATCATGGCACGGGAGCGGAGCTCTAAGGTCTTCCAGGGCCTGAGTGAGGCGGCCATGCGCCTAGTGTAGGCCACACCCCTCGAAGCCCCGCCCCCGCCAAGGACCCAATCAGCTCGCGCTCCCGGGAGGCTTCACCCCGGACTCCGTAGCGAAGCGTTTGGCCCCTTGGTCTCCCGGCGTAGCGTTTGTCTGCCACCGAGCCGCGGGGCTTGGGGTACGAAGGGTGGGCGCCAGCACGCAGAAGGCCTCCGGGTCGGGCTCGCCTGGGTGCCCCGAGCAGCTCCGCGACTCCTGCCCACATTCAGACTTCTACTGGCTCAGAGGGAGGGGACAGTGCACGTGGGAGACACAGCTGACAAATCTGAACCTCAAACAACAAGGCTCCTCTCGCTTCCTTCCCACTCCAGGCACCGCTCCACTTCCCCGCCCCCCGCCCCTCCCGGGCGTCAGAGTTCCCGAGGCCTCAGGGAGGCTCAGACTGCCCCTTAAAGCCAAAGATGGGCGGCCCCGCACAGCCAGAATGTCCCTCAGCGCCTGTCCAGGGAAGTCCCGCCAGCCTGCAAGCTCCTCCAGGACCTGGGAATGCCTGATGCCAGGGCTCTCCCAGCCCACACCAGCAGGGGGAGAGCGACTCCTGGGGCCAGAGCCCAGACAGGGAGCCTGGGGCTCAGGGTTTCCATTCCTGTGCTTTGGAGGACCCAGCTCCTATTTCAGGTGTCTAAGAGTGATAAGAATCAAATGCAAAGTAATCAATTAGGCTTATGGTCAAAGCTGTTGATTAAAATTCAGAACCAGCTCCCACAAAGAGACAGGTATGGAGGCGCAGTCCCTAACACCCTGCTAGATGTCCCCAGCACTGACCGATACTGACCAGAACAGGACGGGAGCATGCGGGTCACACAGGCAGGTGAGGGAAAACGGAGAGCTGTCCCGTGAGGGGCCAGGCTCCTGTGCAGCTGCTGGGGCACCACATAGGGGGGTGGCCAGCAGGAGCCAAGGACACCTCCCAGGACCACCGCCACTGTGGCCCTGCAGACCCTGCTGTCCAGGTCCCCGGGGGCCACCCTGACCCCGGCTCCTGACCCCTGTGTGTGTGGTATGAGACAGTGGCTCAGGTGGCCTATGAAGTCCCTCTGTGACCTGTGACCTGTAATACAGCCTCTATAAGAAAACATCCTGGTCCTCACAGTGTAGCCTTTTTTCTTAGAACATCGTCCTGATAAGCCAAAGTTGCAGATTTGATCCCCGGTCAGGGCACATCCAGGAAGCAACCAGTGAGTGTGCATGAGTAAGTGGAACAACAAATCATTTCTCTCTCTCTCTCCTCCCCGTGCCCTTTCCCTCTCTCTAAAAGCAGTGAGAAAAAAAAATATTCTCAGATGAGAATTTAAGAAAAATAAAATAGATCCTTTTGTAGTTCATGAGCGTGACGATTGGGTGTTCACGCTCTTGTGTGGTATGTGCCTCCCACGAACCTAGGTACAACCTCAGCACATTAGCCGGCTGACACGGGAAAAAAAAAAAAAGGAAAGAAAAAGGAAAGAAAATAAATACAGGAAGCTTTGAGGGCAAAGGGCAACATTTACAGAGTTCCTTAGCAGTCCCATTAAAGTGAATGTCTGTCATTATCAGAGAGATAAGGAGAAATCCCCCAGGTTGCAAAACGGAGTCAAGCACTTTGGGGTGGGGGGGGTGGGGGGGGCGGGGGAGTTAGAGAGAGATGTCTGGCAAGAAAAACTTCTATCCACTCAAGGAAGAAAACAGAAAGTAGCCAGAACTTATTTATAATCCATTTCAAGAGGCTTTTGTATCAAGTTCCTTTGGAGGATGAAGGACCTCGACTATTCCTAAACTGCCTGATTCCCCGGGGTGGGGGCGGGGGGGGGCTGCACTTTTAAGTAATTGGTACTAAATCCTAAATCCCTGTCCTATTCCTAGAGAGCCGTGCTCCAGCAGCGCCTCCTGGCGGCCCAACGTGCAGCTCCCAGGCGGAGAAAGGCCGGGTCGGGTCCCTCCCCCCTTCCTTGGTAAACGCCCATCTTCGCCTCCGCGGAGGTTTAACCCCACCCACCTGGCTTTCCGTAGACCCCTGGGCCGCTCCGGCTGCTCCGCTGATCCAGCGAGTGACACGCCTCTGTCCTCAAGAGGAAGACAAACCATTGAACGCCACCTCGGTCACCGAGATGTTCTGTATTTTCTCCTAAAAGATTTTCAAGACGTGGGGTTGACTCGTGTGTGGTGTAAAGTTGGAGTCGGCATTTTTTTTCTGTATGCATGCCTATTCCTCCAGCACCAGTGGTTGAAAAAGCCCCCTTTCGGACCGCAGTTTGGGGGTAGGTGGTGATAGCAGTTTCTCTTTGCCTCAGGGCAAGACCGTGTAGGAGGCACTCTGCTTCCTCTAAGCCTTGGAAGGCGGTTGCCCTTAGGGCTGTATGTGTCATAGCCGCGTGAGTAGCAGATAGTCCCCAGGAGGAAAATCATTCTGCCCGGCAGCTAGGAGGCCGTCAGGAAGTCAGGGAATGGCCCCCGGGGGGGGGGGGCGTGCAGGTGGGACGCCCACAGGAAGGCCGGGAATGAGGTTTGGGCTCGGCAGGTGTGAGACCGGAAAGGGGGATGAAGACGGGACTGGGCAGAGACAGGGCAGCCCCATGGTCGGGTGTCCTAGATGGGGCACTCCGCTGAGGGGCGCTGCTGAGGCCCAGGACACAGCTAGCCTTCCCTTACCATCTGAGGGACCAGCCCCTCCCCTCCCGAGCCAAGGTGGGGTCCAAGGCCCCTTGGGCACCTTGTTCCCAGAACACAAAGGGAGAGACAGACAGTGGGACCAACAGACAGACAGAGGCATTGCCTCTGGAGCCAATGACCTCCTAGGCTGGCGTCCTAGGTCCACCACTTACTAGCTGCATGACTCTGGGAAGGTTACTTAACCTCTCTGTGCCTCCTTTTCCTCCTCTGTAAATGGCCATAATAATAGCGCCTACTTCATAGGGCTGATTTGAGGATTCAGTGAGGTTAGACATGCGAAGTTCCTGAACCAGTGCCTGGTATGTGGTGAACATTCAGTAAATGCTGGCCATTGTCATTACATGACTCACTAGCCCTGATGGTTAAATTCAGGGCCCCAAACTCCCTGCCAGTACTGTTTGCTGAGCACCCACGGGGAGCAAAATACTTCACTAAGCATCACAGGACCAGCTTCCCATGACAGCGGACCCAGCCCTGGCCTCCAAGAGAGGCAAGGAGACCCCTCCAGGCCCCATCCCAGGGAGGCACTGACCCGACGGCCAAGGGCACTGCTGTCCCCTTCTCCTGAAGCCTTTGAGACACTGACCTGTCACCAGAAGACGAGGGGGAGATACCTCAATCTAGCCCCAGGCTGCCTTCCCCCCTCCTCCTCTTCCAGGTGGGTTCTGCTCGCCCTGGCAGGACCTGGTCAGAGCCCACCTCCTCCCTGGAGTCTTGCCCAAGTGCCCAGACCCCAGAGCTCCCTCCACACCTGGACCGCCACAGCCCACAGGAGCCTCCGCAGGGGCTCTTAGCAACCCCATCTCCTCCACTCGGACTGGGGTGTGGCCAGTGCACAGCGTGGGCAGGGGGAGGAACAGTTAGACCTTGCTCAGAACTCTGGGGGCTACAGGGAAATCCAGTGGGAAGAGACCACGTGAATCCCTGCAGAAAGCATCTTAGCACTGAGAGGTGTTCCAGAGGAAGAGCTGGAGCCTCCGGGAAACCCAATCAGGCTCTGGGAGTGCAAAAGATCCGCTCTGCGGATGTGGCTAAGGACATGTGGCCCACAGACCGGAAGAGACAGTGGGTGATGAGAGGAGGGGGTGGCACGGGGGTCTAGGGCAGCGCAGCCACCAAAGGGCCAGGCGGTGGGACTCTCCAGCCTTGCACCGGAGACAGGGTGTTCACATCAGCTGGCCCCTGGGCAGCGCTCCTCCTAAGGGAGCCCTGGCTTAGCCTGAGCCGTTGCTCTCACAGGGGGGGTTCACTGAAGCCAGCCTGTGTAATGGGCTGGGACGTGGGACCCCACAGTGCCTGCTGCATGACATATTGAGTGCCTGGAGAGGGTGCCCCATCAGCCGCCAGCCAGGAACTGGGGCAGAAGCTGAAGCAGTTCTCACGAGGGTCTCAGTACCGCCACCCTATGGACAGGCTGGGAACTGCAAAGGACTATGCGTTGAGGGGCAAGTGGAAGCTTCAACCTACAACCGGGAACTTGACTTAGCAGTCACCTGCAGGGAGGGACACTCTTTTCTTTCCCCAAGGATTCCACTGGTTCTGGGAGCTAACAGGTCTGTGTTTGCTCAAAGGGTCCACCTTTTCCTGACGCAAAGGTGACATGCAGATGAGCATCAGCCCTGGCTTCGTACAGGACCCAGGTGTCCAGGCAGCCGGGCAGGCTACCTGGTGCGCAGGGACAGGACCTGCAGGATGTGGCGGGAGGAGACGGGAGAAAGCCAGGCATCTGCATGCTTCACAGCGGGGGCTCCTGGGCCCACGGCAGGCCGGCCTGGCGACACCTGGGCGTGAGCATGTGCCACCGCCACGCCCAGCAGCATGGAAGCGCCAGGCAGCGCCGTGGGCACCGAGCCTTGTTCAGCTGCAGCACAGGCCTGGGACAGAGCGGGGCGGCTGTAGCTTCGTCTGATGTGTCCGACGCTGCCGAGAGCTCCCACATGCGAGAGCTGGTGCACCCGTGACAATGTGGCTGCACGGGCACCCTCCGGCTGCGGGTGCCCGGGGACCCCAGAGCCAGCCGTCCTCTGCTTCAGACAGATGTGCTCTGACAAGAGTCCTGAGGTGCCCAGGGACCAAAAGCCAGCCTGTACTCGGCTCTCCCAGCGGTGCTGCCCGGCGGGGAGGCTGTGTTTACTCAAGGAAGGGGGAGCTCTCCTGAACACACAGAAGCGCTCTGTGAACCGGCAGGGCTCTGCCCGGGGACACCCGGGGCAGAGGAGAAGGTGGCTCAGGGCCAGCACGAGCCGTTCAACACCTGTGTTCCCACTCACTGCCACCAAGCCGCCGCTGGCGGACTCCTGAGCAAACCCTGTGTGTGCGGTTGTGACACCCAGACACAGTGGCGAGTGGCTTTCCAGGCCTGCAGCATGTCTCCTGTGAGCTGGCTCGGGGGTCGAGACAAGAACACAGGGGAAAGCTGGCCTTGGAAGGGGCAGCCAGAGAGGACAATCTGGTGGACAGACGTGGCAGAAGCCCAAGGGTGGACAGGGGCAGGGGGACAGTCTGATGAAGACAAGGAAGCTGGGACGGCGCAGACCCCTTGATTAGAAAGTCACTCAGGTCTGCCCCTCCCCGGGCGGGCCGTGTTGCTACACACAGGCTGGCCCTGCTCTCCCAGCAGAGAGCTGCTGGTCTCCCAGGCGGCTGGTTGGGACGGCCCCTCAGAGGACTGCCACAGGCAGCCTGGGGTGGGGGCGGTCCCGAGTGCACCTCTTCCCCTTGACAAGGCCCGAAGGCCCGTCGCCTGCACCCAGGTGGCTGGGTCTCGGGGAGAAGGAATTCAGATCCCCCAGATGGCGTGGTCTCCTGCAAATTTGGAGTTTGCCAGTCCTTGGGAAACGTACCCTGTGCTCCCACTTGGAATTTGGTTAGATAGGTGTGGCTTTGACTCCTGGCTCTACACGCAAGCCTGGGGAGAAAGGTTGTCTTCTCTCCTCTTGGCTCAGCACCCCAAACCTGGGAAACCAGGGGGTGGGGAGGGGGTTTTGCCCCGCTGATGAATGGAACACTCGAGTTTTCAAATCATCAGTTTCTTATCTGCTAAACGGAACCAGGTCCCCCAGCCACACACAGCCACTGCACAGATGCCTGAGTAACAGATGCCCTAAACCGGTCCAGCCTGGTGAGGGCGGCAGGGGGTGATGGGGCCAGGCTGGACGGGAGGCTGAGCGGGTGCCCAGCCTGGAGCACCGAGGACAGCCACCGCCAGCCCTTCGCCGGCCCAGCCTGGGCTTCTCCGGGGCCCCACCCTCCTTGGAGCAAAAGTTAAAATGTACCCACATTCCCTCATTAAACAAAACTCTTCTTGGCTCTCAACATAAAGGGCTTTTATGCATTTGCACAATGAATAAACTCATTTAATTTACTGTGGGCTATGATTTCTCATTTTTTTAATGATCTCTCTCCAAGCCTCCTGCCTAATCTGGAACTCTTGCCAAAAGCCCCATTTATACAAACTGTTTTCAAATGTGGCATTTCTGTGTGGACACTAAACAACACACCCTACAGTAGGTGTGCAGCTTTCAGAGGCATTTAAACACTCGTCAATTGCGACCTTGTCCTTTCCAGTTTGCAGCCCCCAAAGTTGCTCTTTCAGGTCTCCATTTCCCAGGCCTGCGATGCAGCTCTGCACCGCTCCCACTCCCCCCCGCCCCCCCGCCGCCCATAGAAGCAGGAGCACTGGGATCCTCCCCAGCCCCCTGGAGGTCCACAGAGGGGGACAAATGTCCCCCCCTCGAGGTCACACGACCAGAGAGCAGTGTGGC